AATTTCTGGGAAGAAAAGCATCTTGTAAACTCCCATTGCTGTAGGACATCCAGCAGTAGTCTCCATGATGTTTCCACACTGTCCCATAAAAATTAGTCTTCAGTCTCTTGGTATCATGAACATATTTGCAATTAGCGCTTTCCTCCTAAATGAACATATAAATTGGGGAGAGTAAGTTGTGATAGTAGGTCAAATGTGGTCCTTGTCAGCCCACGCCATACATACCTAGCTGTGAAACCAACAAACTGCAACATGCCATCTCTTGTGCTAACAGCACGTTGGTGATATTTCTCTCCTTAGAGACAAAATGAATGGATTCTATTTTGCAGAACAGGAACTTTTATCTCCATGGAAACTGAAGGAAGGATATTTTGGGCATACAAAGAGGTCTTCAGGGCTATTGCTCCACTGTGCCCGCTCCTACAGTTGCCCTCAGCAGAACTGACCCCTCTGTTTTCTTCCTGTCCATCGGCTCCTTCCTGTCTTTCCCTCCTTATCCAGCTTAGATGCCTTGTGCATTACTTCAATCACTCCCGACCCTGTCATTTCACCTCAGCCACATGATACGGCCCCAGCCCTGGATGAATCCAACTCTCCACCTTCTCCATGCCTGCCTCTGTACAGCAGAGCAGTGTTAAGAGAAAAAGCCCACATCCAGGCACTGCAAATTCATAATCCTGTATCTTCATTGGGGGTACCAATTTCATCTGACAAGCTTAGCCTTCTGTAGTTAGCTTACTCTCACACTTCCCATAACTAGTTAAAAACTTCTCCACTCTATTATTCAATGAATAACGAATGCCTGTGACATATCAGGCAGTCTTCTAGGTATTAAGATACTACAGTGAACATAATAGACAAAATCCCTACTCTCATCAAGCACATACTTAATGGAGACAGACAATTAATAAATAAGGAAAAATATCCTAAATGCTATTAAGGAAAATAAACAAGGGGGTTATGGAATGCTGGAGAGATTGTAATTAAAAAAATGTTTTTTGAAATATAACTATGGAAAATTAATAAGCGTTCAACTTGCTGGATTTTCACAAGTTAAAACATTCTATAACTTAAAAGAGAGCTGGGAAATGCCCCAATGAAACAAATGCCATTTAAGCAGAGACCTAAAAGAAAGAGTGAAGCAGTTGAAAATCTAAGGGAAGAGGGGCACCTGGGTGGCTCAGTCGGCTAAGCGTCCAACTTCAGCTCAGGTCATGATCTCACAGTTCATGAGTTTGAGCCCCGCGTCGGGCTCTATGCTAACAGCTAGCTCAGAGCCTGGAGCCTGTCTTTGGATTCTGTATCTCCCTCTCTCTCTGACCCTCCCCTGTTCATGCTGTCTCTATCTCTCTCTCAAAAATAAATCATTAAAAATTAAAAAAAAAAAGAAAATCTAAAGGAAGAGCATTCCAGAGAGGGGAAACGGCCAGTGCAAAGGCCTGAGGCAGCAGCCTGTGTAGTTTGGGGAAGCAAGGAGGCCAGTGTAACTGGAATGCAGCGAAGGAGGGAAGGGTCATAAAAGATGAGACCAGAGGATGTAATGAGGACCAGACTGTACAGAACCTTGTGGGCAACCAGAAGGACTGTAGTTTTTACTGAGTGACACAGGAAGCCATGTGAGAATTTTAAGCAGGAGATTCAGTGCAGTATCTACGCTGTGAATAAAGAGAAGAGGTTTGAGGACTGAAGCCTGAGGTACTGCAAGTTTCAGGTCAGAAATGAAGAGGAACCTACAAAAGAATTGGAAGACTGGATGAGTGAAATGGAAAGGGCAGCGAGAAGGAAAATTAGGAAATTAGTATTCTGGAAAGCCCCGCAGGTGGTTACAATAATGAAATAGCATTGAGTGCTGCAGATAGGGTGAGACAGATCAGTGTTACCAAGAGCAGTTTCAGAGGATCACTGGGGATGTAGGCCTAACTAGAATGGGTTCAAGAGATCACCAGAGAACGGAAATGAAAATACAGACCACTTTATTGAGGCATTTAACTGTGAAAGTGAGCACAGCAATGTCACGGTAGACAGGGAGGGGTAAGGATTCAAGGGGACTAAGGTGGACGCTGTGGTTAACAACTTAGATCTCAACTTCAGGACCCAGGTACTCATTCCCCCAGCACCTAAGGGTGTTGGCTGCTGACGGCTCACAGCTGCACTGGTTTACGCACTGCCTATGGCTGCTTTCACACTACAACAGGAGAGCTGACAGCACAGAGCTCACAAAGTCTAAAGGATTTACCATTTGACCTTTGACAGAAAAAGTCTGCCAACTCCTGCTTTAGTGGCTTCTCTGACGACCGAAGCTACATGTAGAATTTATCAAGTCATCAAGTGATGGCAGAATAAAGTAAGATGTCTAGCTGATTTCCTTTCTATACTATCTACAACATTCTCTGGTGCCTGATGTTATAGGTATAAGAGAGATGCTTAGCTCAAGGAAAGGCGGGGAAAAAGAAAAACGTTCAGATTCCTACACTTGTTCTTCCTTCCAAATCTAGGCCCAAGTTTGCCCATCTGTAAACTACGGAACACACTATAACCAAAATGCTAACTTACTTCACAGAAGAATTTCAAACAGCAATGATAAGGCAGTTTAAAAAGGGAACTTATCGGGAAGAACACTAACCCAATTGAGGAGCAAAATTCTCGTTTGCATCCCTTATGAAACCTGTTTGTAGATTAACATTTTCTCTCAATTATCTGCATTTCTTTCTATGCTCCATCTTAAAAGGCTATGGTTCTTTACTATTTCTTACCACACATTCAAATCAAATACATCCACATGGCCAACTGTCATCTGCTCTACTGTTTCTGAACTGTTTGTTTTAAGTATTAGACTGCCACCGCCCTTCCAAAACCATGGAGTTTGTGGCCTGAATTTTAAAAAGTCAGTCAGAAAAAACTGTACCATCATTTTCCCCTTATTCTAACCTGAACATATGCTGGAATTCAGGGTAACAATCACACATCCCAAGAAAAGCACTGAAGGATAGGATATAATCAACAAACATTAAAAGCCTCTAAACCTATGTATTTGCCATCAAATCTTCCAGTCCCAAACTCCCCATCTGTAAAACGGCATTAACACTGACTGTTGAAGTGTATATGCAATTAGAATATAAGCGTGCTATCTCACAGCATCTGAAAATATGAATGAAACCTATTAATGCAGTGAATGCCAGCACAAATCACTTCCAGCCACCTTATACCAAACACTAACTAACAACAAATAGCATTTACCAAATGTCAGACACTGTGCTAACTGCTCCTTGCATTCTCTTACTTTATCCTAATATACTTTAAAGTAGACAAATGTTGCTATTATGCTAATCTTGCAGGTGAAGAAAATGGGATAGAGTGGTTCACTTGCTAAAAGTCATCCATCTCCTAAGTGCTAGAATCTGGACTCGAAATCAAGTCTGCATGTCTTCAGAGCCAGTGATTGTGACCATGGTGCTAAATACTGCACCTCTTTAGGTCAGGAATGGACATAAATTACCAACATGAAACACAGTATCACAGGGTAAAAATACATGCTGTTGGGGTAAAGACGGTAGATTAAGCACATGCATCTACTTCCATTCCCTCTGAAATTCCATGAAATGACAGCCAAGATTTTGTTTTAAGCTATGAACCTACATGAATAGAAAAAGAGGAGAGGAGACAACAGCAAAAAAAAGTTGGAAAGCAGATGGACAAGTAGTAATTAACATGATAGACCGCAAAAAACTGAATTCTGAGTCAGCAGAAGAAAAGCAAAACATACAACTCAAATTTACATGATAGAATCCTTAAAAGGTTCAGGAACTGGGGCCTTCATAGGCCTTTGGAAGTCGAAGTGAAGGGGTAAACACTAAAATAAGAATTGGTTGAAGCTTTAAGTATTCAGAATGCTCTCTGCAACTTACATAGTTAAGCAGCCTCTTTTCCCCAGCTCCCTCCCCAAATTAGAAGTTTACTTTCTGAAAAGGGTAAAATAGAGGGTTCTCTGGATTGTGGGATGGCAGGCAGTTATGGGCATGAGTACTGTACTCAATATGGAGACCCAATGGGCAAATGCATACTGGACATGAGATAAACATGATACAAGATACAGAAACAAGAAATCCAACCTGGGAAAAGAGGAAAGGGAATTCCCAGGATTGTGGTGAAGGGAGACCCCAGAATAGAGCCATACACCATGCACAGGAGGAGACTATAGTCCAGATGGAGACAGGTCAGAAAGCTCCAGGAAAGACTTATTTGGGAGGATGAAACAGCATACCTAATGAAACAATGTAGATATATGGCAAAGTGTCTAGTTGATTGTTTTTAAGTTCATAGAAAACGAAGCCTAGGAAAAACAAAAAGATGTACAGGAAAAGAAAACAAATGTGGGTGCCTGGGTGGCTCAGTCAGTTAAACATCCGACTCTTGGTTTTGGCTTAGGTCATGATCTCAGGGTTAGTGGGTCTGAGCCCTGTGTCAGGCTCCATGCTCATGCTTGGAATTCTGTCTCCCTTCTATTTGCCCTTCCCCCTGCATGTTCGCACACACACATACACACACACTCTCTCTCTCAAAAATAAATAAACATTAAAACAAAAAATAAAAGAAAACCAGCATTTAGAGTCCTCATGAAATTAATTCAAACAAAGCCACACAAATAGGTACATTGGAAGGAAGAAGAAATTAGAAGAGATAAGAGTGACGGAGGTAAGGAGAGGAAAGAGAAGTCAGTAGGCAAGGTCTATTAACAGAAAAGTCACAAAGTACTAATACTAACATGCTATTCAGAGACAAGAAGGTAAATGCCAATATAGTTACCTAAAAAGTGGTAAATGTAAGCTGCCTCCAGGAAGAAAGTTAAGGACTGTCTCCTCCCCCTAACAAAGTTCCCCTAAAAAGAGAACTATTTGACTTAAATTAAAGCATTTTTTTTCCTTTGGTGGAACTATATATTCTCAGCGTCAAGCAGTAATGCTGCCTTTCACAAACATTGCCTAACAATAAAATAATTTCACTTTATCAGCATTAGCAAATCCTCAGGTCGAAAACAAGAGGAACTCAATTTAATGTAGTTCATAATAATTACAGTATTAAAGAGGTCTCACCAGTGATTGTTGATCTGTAGCATAAAGTAGGTTAAGAGAAATAAAATCCAAATTTTTTCTTAGTTGGTACTTTAATTAAAAAATAGAGACTAATGGTCGTGTGCTTAAATGTTGTTGTGACTGTGCTGGCTTCTGTAAAATGTAACTAAACAAAAGGAACTCTTCACCAAATATACTCCAGACAGAAGTAAAAAAGTAAACAGAAATGACTAACAAGACAGTGCTATTGCAGACATAATTCCCTTGTAATTTATACTTGCTAAAAAATGGAGTTTGACATTACTTACAATTGTACCAACATTCACAGAGGCTGCACATCACAGGCACATGGATGTACCATCACCACAAAATGTCTTTACTTCTCAAGCAGTTTTAAATTTTAGCTACGAAGGTCAGTTACCAGAGGCCAACCTTGTTCTTAACAAGTAGAATTTTTATGTCCATTCAGTCTCTTACATCTTTCTGGGACTATTCATCTGCAGTCAGGAGGAGAAACTGTAACCAGGTTCCTCGTATCATTCACATGTGACGCCCATCTTCATATGCTGTCCAGTTTCTTTAGGATAAAAGGTGCTGAAAGAAAAATAAACAAACCCAGAATTTCAGATCTATTAGCCCATGAGTTACATTATGGAATTTATAGTACCAGGGTGGAGGGGGAATCTTATAGATTTAAATTTAGTTCAATACATTTTTTAAGTGAGTCCAAATGATGGCCTGCACAACCCAGTAAAAGAGACTCCCTGTCTTTCCAGTGTCATGAAGCTGACTACTCTTAAGTTTTTCTTACACTATAGAAAATCTCTTCTCCAGGAAGTTCTCCCTCTTAGGACCACAAAGAGTAAATTCAATCCTCCTTCAAAGGACACTCTTTTATTTTGGGTAATTTGTCAAAGGAACAAAACACTAGAAGAAACAAATTGGCATTTTTCACCTTTTAAAACATGTTTGAAAAAAAGGCAGAGGGTGGGAGAAAACACTTATCTAGGGAATCAGGAGAGCTAGACCCACAATCTGGTTCTCCCACTGATTAGCTGTATTATCATTTATGTAATCTAGATCACATATGCTATAGTCCTACTTCAGTTCAGTTCAGAGAGCGAGAATGTGTGTGCATGCATGGAGCAGGAGCAGAGAGAGAGGGAGAGATCCTAAGGAGGCTCCATGCCCAGCTCAGAGCCCGACGTGGGCTTGACCTCGTAACCGTGAGATCATGACCTGAGCCGAAATCAAGAGCCAGATGCTTAACCAACTGAGCCACCCAGGTGACCCAGTCCTACTTCAGTCCTTATGAGGGTCTCGTAGGATGGTACAGATAGAAATGTCTAGAAAAAAAAAAATGCTGTCTTTGGGATCTAAAGAACTATTATTGTCTCTCGTGTAAAAGTGCTTTGGCCAATACAAGCACATGAAAAGAAGTTTAACATTACTAATCACTAGGACAATGCAAATTAAAACTATAGTGACCCACCATTTCACACCCAGTAACATGGCTATAATCAAACTGTCAGCAAGGATGTAGAAAACTTGGAACCCTCATGCACTGTTTGTGGGAATGTAAGATGGTACAGCTGCCTTGGATCACAGTGGTGGGTCCACAGTACGGTGGGTCCTCAGAAAATTAAATAGAGCTATCTGTAGATCCATGTTAGAGCAGCATTATTCACAGGGGCTAAAATGTAGAAGCAACCCGAATCCAAAAACAGATGAATGGAGAAGCAAAAATGGTACACAATGGAATATTAAGCAGCCTTAAAAAGAGATTCTGACATATGCTATGAAATGGATGAACCTTAGGACCCTAGGTCAAGTGAAATAAGCCATTTATGAAAAGACAATCACTGTATGACTCCACTTATGAGATCCTTAAAGAGATGTCAAAATCCTAGAGACAAAGTTTCAGTTTTACAAGATAGAGTTCTAGAGACTATGGTGATGGGTGTACAGCATTATGAATGTATTCAATACCACTAAACTACACACTTAAAAATACTTAAGATGATAAATTTTCCCACAATAAAATAAATTTAAAAAAAAACGGGGGGGGGGGCCCTGCGGCCAAAAAAGCTGCCAGAAGGATCTTCTTTCTTAATACCCATAACTAAAGTAATAAAACATATTGTTAATATTAAACTGAAGATATTGAGATCTGTTGAAGGCTGACAAAGTCGGCAATATATCCAGACATTTCTACTAACTCACTCTTATCAGACAAAACTATAACATCCATCAGGTGAATGGATAAAAATGTGGCATATTCACACAATGGAATATTATTTGGCAATAAAAAGGAAGGAGATACTAATAAACACTACAAGATGGATGAACTTTGAAAACATTATGGAAAGTGAAAAAAGCTAGACATGAAAGGTCACATATTCTACAATTCCATTTGTATGACGTGTCCAGAATAGGCAAAACCATAAAGATGGAAGGTAGATTAGTATACTTTACATTAAAAGTAGATTAGTGGCTGCCAAGGGAAAGGGAAGGGGGAAAATGGTGAACAACAGCTAACGGGCATGGAGTTCACTTTAGAGGTAAAGAAAATGTTCTAAAATGGATCCTGGTGATGATTGCACAACTCTGACCATGCTAAGAAACATTACATTATATACTTTATTTTTTTAATTGCTTCTCTTTTGAAGTATAATTGACATACAGTATCCTATTAGTCTCAGGTGTACATTGTAGCGATTCACCACAATAACACTAGTTACCACAAGAAGTTATTACGGTATTATGGACTATATTCTCTATGTCGTACATTGCACCCTTGTGACTTCTTTTATAAATGGAAGTTTGTACCTTTTAATCCCCTTCGCCACTGGCAACCACCATTTTACTTTGTCTATTTATGAGTCTGTTTCTGTTGTTTGTTCGTTTGCTTTTTTAAAATGCTTATTTGTTTTTGAGAGAGAGAAAGTGAGCGCAAGCAGGGAAAGGACAGAGAGACAGGGGGACAGAGGATCCAAAGCAGGCTCTGTGCTGACAGCAGAGAGCCTGATGTGGGCTTGAACTCACAAATTGCGAGATCATGACCTGAGCTGAAATCGGACGCTTAACCGACTGGGGCCACCCAGGCGCCCTGTTCATTTATTCTTAAAGATTCCACATATAAGTGGAATCATGGCATTCATCCTTCTCTGATTTCACTTAGCATAACAGTCTGTACGTCCATCCATTGTTGTTGCAAATGCCGATTTTCATTTTTATGGCTAACATTCCACCGTATATACACACCTTTATCCATTTACTTGTCAGACACCAAGGTTGGACTGTACACTTTAAATGGGTGAACTCTATACTATGAATTACATCTCAATTTTAAAAGTGGCAATGTGTAACAGTATTCTGTAATTTTTTTGAAGAAAACCAATTCGTATCAAATGCAAAGGTCACTGAAAAGAAGCAAATATTACCGGCAGCTAAGTCATCCAAAAAAGGTAAGAGGAGAAAATAACCTGGGAGTCACAAAAAGCTGTTGAAGCAGGATGTGGGAGTTTGTGTTCCGCAGGGCTCCCTCTCCTGGGGAAGCAGAGTAGCATCACAGTCAGTGAAGGATTACCAGGCTTCAGGAGCTCCGGCCTAGGCCCAAAGTGAGCCTTCTACAGGATGACCTTGGTATGGCCTTCATTTGAATCATCCCTGCGTCTCCACCCATACCTGCCAGCCATACACAGTAAGGTACTGAAGACAGTATTCAACTGGGAATGGGGGGTGGGGGGTGTCGCAAATCACTTTTGACATTCAAATCAGTAACACTAGAGAAGTGATCCACAAAACTTCATCCAGATCTAACTTTCAGTGTGCCTTTAACGATGCTAATTTTCCTTAAGACCCCCTTTGAAGGGTGAGTTCTCATTTGCAAAAGGGATATACAGAATCTTGGGCCTGGCTTCCTTCAAAGCACTGTCAAATTTCCGCCAAATATAAATTCAAATAAACCTCCAGGTAATATTATTAACGCTATAGACTCCTATTCTTTTATTCTCATTCCTTCACAAAAAAGACACCCGCATGATTTACTTTACCCTGCGTATAAATAAGCAAAAGAAGCAAAACTTTTTGTATTTCAGAGGTCAGCACTGAAGGGAAGAAACCTGGTATTGGGAGCTCTGGATTCTAGATCAAGATCATTCACTGAATCTGAGTGACCTTGAGTCAGCCATTTCTCTATTCCAGATCTCCGTTTCTGTCAGCAAAACAAGGGGAGCGGCTAGGTAATGGCGGGGGGGGGGGGTTAATAATCCCTTGAGGCTCTTTCCATTCAAACTCTCCTAAGGCAGAGCGAAGCTGGACGACTACCCTCGCAGTGTGGACCACCGCGTGCACTTGGGTACCCTAACCCCGATCCACAGACCCTAAGCCGCGCAAGCGCCCGTCGCTCTCGACGCACGAGTCTCAAGCTCCCTGCGAACGCCCAGCTCGCTCAGCTCAAAGGCACCCAGAGAACTACAGGACCAAAGCTGGGCGGGTGGTGTCCTCGGCGAGCTCCACGCTAGTCTCATGGCCGCAGCCTGGAAGGACACTCACTGACTCGCAGCAGGGCCACGTAGATGAGGAAGTTCCGTATGGACGAGATCACATCCTCGCGCATCTTCCGTTTCATCTCCTCGGGGTCCAGCTTCGGCGCAAGGCCCTCGATCCGGAACATGTCCGCTTTCCTTTTCGGTCTCCCAACTATCACGCTCTGCTTCTCTCAGCGGCTGCCCGGCACCCGGAACTCGGTTCTACCCCATTTCCTGTTCCCGCCCCTCGTTTTCGCGCGCGGCGACGGGAGGCTGCGAGGGACAACCTTCGTTCGGCCGGAGAGGTTCTGCAGGGGGCTGCCTGAAGGGGGCGGTCGCAGTCTCAGCGAGAGTTCTTCCTGACCGTTTAGACCTCTGTCTTGAGCGGGGAGCGCCACTCAGCAACGTGCTTTTATGCCTTAGAGGCGGCGAAGCACGTAGCTACCACCATAAATAGTAATAACTACAGTTCCAAGCCGTGAACTAAATATTGAAACCTTCATTTCCTGGATGAGAAAACTGAAGCACAGAAAGCTTTAAAAACAACTTGCCCAAAAATACTTTAAAATAGCATGGGGTGGAGTGTTGAGGAAGGGAAATGAAACAGTATTAGCAAAACTTTGTAAATTGCTTAAGCTTGTGAGTAACATATCGTTTTAATTATTTTAGTCTATTTGAGTATTTTTGAAATTTTCCATAAATTAAAACAGAAAGGTAAAGATGATGACACTTGCTTGAGATTACACAACTAGTATGCAGTAGGTTTTTTAAAATAAATGTTATTGTCATCATTTTATTATTTATATATTTATTTTTTTAAATGAGCTCTATGTCCAACCTGGGGCTTGAACTCAGGACCCTGAGGTCAAGAGTCACATGACATACTGACTGAGCCGGCCAGGTGCCCCCTGCAGTAGGGTTTTGTATTTGGACTTGTATAGGACCCAGGCATAAAAGTTTTCAACTCCATATTATTACTGTATTCTCATTTCTGGTGTTAACTGGTCCTTACAAATTATTATATCGGTCCAGTAATATAGTATATATCAAACAAGTTCAGCTCCCTTCAACATTTTACAGATAAGGAGAGGGAGGCTGAGAAACCAAGTGCACTGCTTAAAGTCATTCCACTAGTGATGGTCAGAGGCAGGGTTCTAATGCAGATAATTATAATGCCAACTTACATTCTCTTTTCCCTGCAACCCACTGCTCCTCTGTTAGTCTTTAATGGTTACTGTCTGCCAGGATGCGAATCACTGGACTCAGGAGGTAGAGGTTTAGTGCAATCAGATTTCCTGCCACAGATTCATGAAAACAGCGCTGCCCCAAATTTTGCATGCCAACTAGCCATACATAATTTTTAGACACAAACCAGATAACTGAATTGCCCACATAATTCAAAACCCAAATGTGCCTTCTTGATTGCCCATTGCATAGCAACAATGGATTTTGGATAAATCAGAACAGTAATTTACTGTGGTAACTGATAACTAAAGCGTTGCTGCTCACCTTCCTGATTGACAGAATGTAAGACAGTGGGGCAAGAAAGAGAATTCATCTGTGTATTCAGGCTTTAGTAACCCCTTCTTTTTTTTAATTAAAAAAAAATTATATTTATTTCTGAGAGAGAGACAGTGTGAGCAGGGAAGGGTGAGAGAGAGAGGGAGACACAGAATCTGAAACAGGCTCCAGGCACTGAGCTGGCTGTCAGCACAGAGCCCGACATGGGGCTTGAACCCACTAATTGTGAGATCATGACCTGAGCCCAAGTCAGACGCTTAACCAACTGAGCCACCCAGGCACGCCTTTAGTAACCCCTTCTTTCTATCTATAATTCATGCAGTGGAATAGCAGAGGCAACTCTGGAATGGGAAGGGCTGATTCCCAAGGAATAGCCTCCACCCAACACTTTGAGAGTGTTGAAAGTCTGCACTGATGCTGAAAAGCAGTAGGGGCTGTGGAAAGAACCTGGACAGGAAGACTGGAGACATGGCCTCTAGATTTGGCACTGCCACTATCAAGGCATGAGACAAAGGACAAGTCTCTGTTTCAATGCAACTCCATTTCTTTAGAAGAAGGGAGAAGGAAGAAGATATGATTAAATGCTCTTAAGAGTCCCTTTCAGTTCTAACAGCCTAAGCATTTTGAATTCTAATCGTGTCATCTAGGGCATTCTGGTCTCGAGTGTATAGATATCAAAATATTATCAAATGTGATCAGATAACAAAGCAGCCAGTGTGTGTTTTCTGGGGTAGGAAGACTATAACAATAAGATATATCTCATCCATCTGAATAGTGAGGCAAAATGAGTTGGCAAGGAATGAGTTCTTATGTGATACCACTAGCTTAGATCCTTGATACTGAGTTTAGAAAAACAGCGCTCCTATAGAACTACCAGTTTTTCTTTACTGAGATGCTTCTGACTAACTTGCCTGGGTTCACAGGGAACCAAAGAGGGGAGAAATTAGCAAAAAAAAAAAAAAATCATGTATCTTGGTAAAAAATCCAAGTTTTAGCATTTGATTTTTATTCATCCAATGCTATATAAAGCAGCACTTGTTGACCTGACAGGTGATATGGAGGCAAGTAGCTGACCTGATAAAGGGCAACATTATTCTCCTAACAGTTCTCTTAGAGAGGTTTGGTGCTTACCAGCCTACCTTAGAGAGACAGGAAGGTGGTGGATAGAAATAAGGAACAGTTGGTCTTGAGGTGAGGAACTGGTTCTGGATACACTCTAGGAGGGCAAACTGCTCCTGAACTATTTCAGAAACGTTCATCCTGGGGGCACCTGGGTGGTTCAGTCAGTCGAGTGTCTGACTCTTGATTTCAGCTCAGGTTATGATCTAAGCATTGTGGGCTTGAGCCCCACGTCAGACTTTGCACTGAGTATGGAGCCTGCTTGGGAATTCTCTCTCTCTCTCTCTCTCTCTCTCTCTCTGCCTCTCCCCCACTTTCACTCTCTCTTTCTCTCTCAAAATAAACAGATAAACATTAAGAAAAAAAAAAAGAGGGATGCCTGGGTGGCTCAGTCAGTTAAGTGTCCAGCTTTGGCTCAGTTCATGATCTCATGGTTCATGGGTTTGAGCCCTGCGTCAGGCTCTGTGCTGACTGCCAGCTCAGAGCCTGGAGCCTGCTTCGGATTCTGTGTCTCCTTCTCTCTCTGACCCTCCCCTGCTCACACTGTCTCTCTCTCAGAAAAAAATAAAACATTAAAAAAAAATTTTTAAAGAAAAAAAAAAGAAATGTTCATCCTGATGAACTCTGTCTTCCGTTTACATGGCTCTTCTACTTGTAATGGAGGAAACTTATTAAAAGAGGTTAGGCTCCTTTCTTTGTCTTTCTTTAGTGCCCTTCCTTTTTTCTTTTCTTTTCTTTTCTTTTTTTTTTTTTTTGGCATGTAGGTGGCAGTTTCTTTAGGTGAGGCAAACTGAGAGAACGTACTTCAGGAAGTTAACACTGGAGTGAGCTGTGGGACAGCTTGGACTCTTCATTTTCTTCCTCATGGGAATGATGAGGAAGTTGGGTCTGATCTTTAACATCACTTGCAGCTCAAAAATGCTGAAATTATGTGTTCATCTTTCCTGTTGTTCCTTCATAACCTTGCATTAAAGGCTGAAAGCAAAGGATTCTCTATGATTTTTGCCATGAAAAGCAAAAATTAAAACTATACACAGATAATTTAATATTGATATTTGTGTTAGTCTGATCATAGAGGAAATGGTAGCTGATGTCATGGCCTGTCTTGTTTTCCATTTTGATCCCAGGAGGGATTTAAGAGTTATTTCCTTTGCCTCAACTTCCCAGACGTTATGGCACACAAACATACAGTGTGCACAATTTATCCATAAGAAAATTAAATGCTTTAATTTCCACCATTGGGGAGAAATTTGTATTTACAAGGTCAGAGATTTACAGATGATTCGTGATTGGGGAATAATTCCAACATATAATCATAGGAACCTTGTGGTGTCTAATGTAAAGGAAGCTATAGGCTTTGTATATCAAACAGTTCAACCCCTTCATCTGACAGATGAGGATACTGAGGCCCAGAGGGAACCTAGTTAGAGTTACAGCTAGTTGGGACTAAGGTAGGGTTCCCAGTTCAGCACTTTTCTCCATTACCTTGCAGCTTTCAATACTTCGTGGATATTCTCATTGGTGATCTTCCCCTCAGAGGTAAGGGAGTACACATACATTGTACATATATATAGCTCTTTCCTCTCTTTCTCCTTGTGTGTGTGTGTGTGTACACACTATGTATAGATGTATCTTTTTTACAAAAATGGACCATATAGTATATGATATTTTAACTTGCATTTTTCATATAAGTTACATTGATTATCTTCCTATATCTGTAAATATTCTTCCAAACATCATTAATGATCGCTGTATGGTATTCCATTATGTAGATGTACCAAAATTTATTTAACTAATCCTCTATCTTTAGGCATTTAGTGAGCTTCCATATTTTCTTTATAAATAAATTCCAAGGGGCATGATTGTAACACGTCCTTTGTGTACACATACAAGCTTTTCCAGTCATTACAATTATTACCTTAAGTTCAGAGTTCTCAATTTTTCACAGTGATTCTAGTTTTAACCCAGGAAAAAACTCTCTCTAGCTGAGAGTGTAGTTGTCAGATCTCTGAACTTTTGAGAACTACAAACAAGGGATGGGAAATTGTGTTTGTTTTTAGAAGAGGTTTGCTTCCTTGTGCTATAAGTTCTAATTATTTTGCAGCAGGAAAAGTAAAACATACACAAAGCTTAGTCTGCATTGACAGTATTTTTTAATGTTTATTTTTTTGCAAGAGAGAGAGAGTGATGGGGAGAGGCAGAGAGAGTGGGGAGACACAGAATCGGAAGCAGGCTCCAGGTTATGAGCTGTCAGTACAGAAGCCTGATGTGGGGCTTGAGCTCAAGAGCCATGAAATCATGACCTGAACCGAAGTCAGAGGCTTAACCGACTGAGCCACCCAGGCGCTCCTGCACTGACAATATTTAGAGCACATGATAATTACCAGCCATCTCCCTGCAGAGATTAGAGAGTTGATTTTGTCACCCCTCCCATCCCACCCCCATTACACAAAAACACATGTAAATGCTGCAGAACTATGTTTATACCGCTTGGTATACTTTCTTGCTTTTGCTTTTCAATAAAAAGTGCCTGTTTCTTGACTATAGTGTAATAGGCGCTTGATTAATATTTATAAAATGAAAGAAAG